GTTTTCGCTGCAGGAGCTTCAGATCCTCTCGATAGCATTCAATTTGATCATTATTCGCATCAGCACTCGGCCTGAAGAGAACTATAGTGCGCAGAATAGTAGGCCAAATCATCATCCAACGTTCCCGCTGCGTACCTTCACTTCTGTGATGGACAGTACTAGTCCAGCTCCAGGCGAAATCGTATCAAAGAGGACTCTCGAAGTAATGATTTCAAATGAAGAGAGCGTGGACGTAGACTATTCGTCAGCACGTCCACAGGCGAGGGATTCATTTAGATCCGACAATGTAAATAAAGATAGGATGGACTTGGAGGAAAATTTGGCTTTGTAGATTATGATTTGTACATGTGCTCTCTCTTGTATTAATGAATATCTTCTTGCACCTCCAAAGAAAAAACATGCGGATCGAACGCGGGACCTTCAGAAGAATTGCATTTACTACAGCCTGCTGCTCTCCCAGCTGAGCTACACCCCCCTTCAATATTTCCACAGGCCATGAGAATCTCTTCAATATATACTCAATGACTCCTGGGTTGGTACAGTATCAACAGTACCTTTCGTTGCAGAGCTGAATTTTTGAAGTGGGAATGTCTGTGATGCAGATTGAACACTTGTGCTGTAATCCCCTGACCCACTAGGGCGAGTACTAATGCGAATGATAATGAGGTTGAATGCAATTGCAAGAATTTGAAGCTCCTGGTCGGGCATTTTATCTCGTTAGTGTATGAGCAGGCGGAGAGATTAATTATGCATACCGCATCTGAAGTTGGATAGAAAGAGTTACTTCCCACCACGAAGGTAATGAATGTGATGAAAGCAGTGGTAGTGTACATCATTCCCGATTCGATAACGATTCGGATGATATTTTGCAGTTTTGTTCTTTGACGCTTTTTGGAACCAAAGAGACTTCGGGAGCCTTGGGTAGCTGATTCCTGAGTCTGAATGCCATATAGAGCGTTAGATTTGTCCACACGCCAAATACGGTAAACAATAATTCCTGTAAGCAATGGATATGAAAAACCTATGTGGGTGAAAAGGGATAGCCTTACCAGTAGTTATGATATTGTTAGTCAATGACATTGTCCAACCAGCAGTGATGCTGGGCGTGATTTTGGACATTCCTCCAGTGAGCAACACTCTGGGATTTCCTGCGCTCGCTTCCAGATAAATAACGAATATCCCTGTACCGAGATATCCCATCCACAAGAGTATAGGAAATACAACGATGAGGATGTTATGGTTGCAAACAGCCCAGCATCTGAAGATCAAGACACCATCACTGATGACCTTGCCAAACACAACATTGCACGTCTGGCAGAAGCAAAAGTAGAAATTCAGGAAAATCCAACCTCATTGTGCTAAACACAAACCTTCAAAACATTTACCCAATCCGTCAGACCTGTAAATCTGGCGGTCGAGCCCCCAGGGCCGGTGTAGAAGATGAAGGCCTCGATGCTATGCATTAGACCCAGCGAAACATCAAAAGTCGATAAGGCCATTAACAAGAGGGCGACGACAAGCATTGACCAGTTGATTGTCGAGAGGCGCTTGAACTGCCCACCTTTGGCATCGGAATCCCAAAGAAGGTACCGAATTGTTTGTACAAAAGTAATGAGCAGCATGCCCCAGAAGACACTAGCAATGAATAGTCCTAGGATCTGAGCTTCACTAATCCCAAGAGTGTCTGCCATGTCGAAAAAGTGTGAGGGATAAGCTCAGCGAACTGTTTGCCTTATCAATGGGCGAAGGAATTTACACCAGAGTTTATCGTTGGATGAAAGTAATGGAAATATCATATCAGCATCAAGACTTCTTCGATGAGCGTCCATGTGTTTACATTGTGATTGTTTTGCGTAACAGTCGAGAAGATGCGAGCGTGGGCATCGTTATTCAGTTGATTCCTCGAATATGTAAATTCATTGGACGGCGGTGTTTATTGACCAAGAACCCAAATAAGGTCCTCTAAGATGGTTCAACGAGAGTCGAGGTCTGATGATAGAGATGAAAATTAGCGTCCTGATTGTAAAAAATTGCCCTAACACTATTGAGCGCATGTCTCGAGTCTATGTTCAGGGGGAGGAGGCGAACAGACCCAATTAAAACATGACCACAGCGTACAAACTTTCCAACTATGTACCATTGTCAACTGCGTCGAATATTGGGTGCGAAATTGAAGCCTCGGGTATCATTCTGGAAAGGCCGAATTGTTTTCTGTCGTATCAGTAAATGATTAGGTTCCTGGGCGACCGTGGCAATAAGATGCGAAACACTGGGGGGATGATCTGATTGGGAACAGTTGGAAGTAAACGATGGATAGGTTCAGGAGAGAAATGATTGGACTCATTTCTCCTACGTGGTACAAACACATCACGAAAGTACTTTCTTGAGAGTTGTCTCTGGTCGAAAACAATTCCCATGTATCGAAAGATACTGATCTGCGAAGCATGAGCCTTCGCACGTCCTTGTTACACGGGCTGAGGATACTAGAATTCTTAGACCAGGGCGCTGTTCAAAAGTCTAGAGATCCTCGGAACAACTTGAGGTGAAAGAGCAGGCAACAAATTCAAAGATACCGGGAAGTCTCATCGTTCCACTATCAATAGACCATGAATAGATTACTTTCCTGAGGCTGCGACATGTACTCAGAGAAAAGGGTATGGGGTCACTTTCGATTGAAGCTGATACCAAACTTCCCGCGGTATTGAGTGCTCCTGTTTTGTTGCCCAAATGCCGCTCTGCATATTTGCGATCGAAATGTGAAGTATGGGACACGACTTGCACTCGAAAGGCCATAATTTTGACAGCTAACAGTTGAGCGGGCGTTCAACGAAGGGGGAATGAACAGCTCCCGAAAATTAGAGCAGGCAACCAAGCCCTATCATAAGTACATTCAAATCATACTCCCAGCGAACTGCAATTTACCCATCCTCATTCCTATCCAGTCCTTTCCAGCATTCGATTCACAACAACCGGCCTTCCATTTGGCGGATGAGCCATATCGTTCATCCTTGCCTCTCGCATATTATTCAACAATGATGATAGAAAATTGGCTGTGACTAAGCGCCCTTGTCCAAATGGCCAGGAATTAGCGGTGTCGTCGCCTCCTTCGCCTCCTATACTTCCAGGAGTATTACCGAGCGGTGTCGAACCAGATCGTTGACCTGCGTGGGAAGTATGAGACGCAGGAGAACCAGAGCTCGTCCCGTCTCCGAATAAATCTTCCATCCGTCCTCCACTAGCACTATTGGGTGTCCCGGTCCCTGAACCAGAACCTGAACCAGCTCCTGTTGCTGATCTCTTCGTTGGACTAAGAGAACCGAGGGAGACAGGGACTAAGGCTGGGGGATAGCGATGTTGGGCTTGCTGTTGCGGGTGCTGGGGGATAAAAAATGGAGGCATGCCAGTCATCATTTGTGACGGTGGCACCGGGACATATCCTTGTTTCTTGAAAGTTGCCATCGCATGCGCCTGTAATTGCAGCACGCCTTGGAGTCGTTGTCGTTCGCGTTGCCGTTCAAGGTCAGAGGCGGTAGAAGATGCAGAAGCATTTCGAGAATTTCTCTGGCTTTGTGTAACCTGGGAACCACGTGGACCCTTCGTACTCTTTGAATTACCCGGAGTGCCCCTCTTACCCATACTTGCACTCATGCTTGTTTTCCGTAGTTCCTCCGGTGAAACATCTTCACGATATCGACTCCAAAGACTGTACATCGATATAATCTCCTGTGCTATGGTTGAGATAGTAGAAAGTGAGACGTTGAGGTCTGCAAGGAAGGAGATGGGGTCTTGTTGGGTTTGTTTGGATGAAGGATCACTTGTACGCGACGAGCGTCTTGGTTGAGGAGTCGTCTGCATGGACTCGCTAGAGATTGCGGAATCGGAGTTGAACGCGGAAGAATAAGGTAGTAGGTGCGCAATGCTATTCTGAGTGGGTGTATGAAGAACAAGGGTAAGATAAATGGCGGTCACTGCAATCAGATGCGGCGGATAGAGGAGACATAGTTCAGAGCGGTAGGTGTCGTTGATTATAAACCTAGATATGGAGGTTTCAATCTCTGGAGCAAGTCGAGTGATAAAATATACCATGCAGTTTGTAATGCACCTTCAGATAACTCGAGTTTTCCTTCACCTGTACCCCAATATCTCGGACCATCCTCGATGCCAATTCCGGTGCCCAGTTCGCCTGCTTCAGCCTCATCTGTAGGTGAAATCGAGTGACTGCCACTGGCAGGCGATGATGATGAATCCTTCTTACACAAGGCAAGTAATGTTCGATACGGATGAAAGACGATTAAATCGCAATCTAGGTCGTCTACAAGGTAAAATTCCATCTCTGCGAGTTTATGGTTGTCCGAAGGGAAATGTTTGACGTTGTACTGTTCTTCTACAATGTATTGTATTTAGAAAGTTCGATTATTGCGAATGATAATAATGAGAAACTCACGACTGAACAGGGCACGAGACTCGGCGACAACGTTCTTTATGTGTACCGGAGACTCCTCTGCTTTCGCAGCGACATAACAGCATGCTGAAAGGACAACATAGGGGTCTGTTTCGCAGTATGAGTTCTTGAGGTAGAATCTGTGGAAGAATACAGTAGCGGTGGCCACAACTCGTTGTCGGAACTGGAGTTTTTTGCCTAGCTTTGTGATAACTACAATCACCCGATAGGATCAAAGAGCTAAACAGAAGGGTTATACTACCTACGGTTCGCAAAATAGATGGATAAAAAGTCCACATATTCCGGCTCTGAAACGTACAGTAAATCATCTGCGCGTGCTTGCTTCAATGTGGAGCGGTCAACTATCCAGCGTTTACTGAGCGTAGAAAGTTAACAAGAATGTGGCGCCTCGTATAGCACTTCTCACTAATGTGTACTTGCCCAAAAGTCGGTGGCCATTAAATGGATGAGAGAGAAAGCAGGTGGGGCGAATTCAATATTGGGTATTTTGGATTATTAAAAGTATATCAGAAGACTATATATATGGAGACATCGCGAAGGTGAGATGGCCGAGCGGTCTAAGGCGCCAGACTAAGGAGACCAACGCATTAGATGCGCACTGAAATCTGGTCACATTGTGGCGTGGGTTCGAATCCCACTCTCATCATTTTTGCATTCACTTGTCTTTTCTTATTGTCCTTTGTTTTGTTTAGCCGTATGAAATTTCGCCGACACGTCTCGGACCCCGGCAACAAAAGTCAGAGCGAACCGGACGGGGACGGGAGTAAATTCTACAATTGGCGTGTGATTATCCATCCTCGTCTTAATAACGAAGTATTTGCAAAGCAGAATCTCTTAAACCCAACCACTACCTTCTGTCTTTCTGCCCATTGTACTTTCCTTTTTTTTTGCTCATCATGTCTGCTGCGAGAGCCAAAATACTGGAGAAACACGACGACGACGTTGTTATCGTCTCTGCTATACGTTCTGCTTTAACTAAAGTGAGAATAACCTCTGAACCTCGCGAGTCGACCACCTAACCCAATGCGATTCATCTACTACTCCAAACAGTCCAAGAAAGGCGGCTTCAAAGACACACGTCCTGAAGAAATACTCATGAATGTTCTTAAACACACATATACTTCGACCAAACTCGACCCCGCACTCATTGAAGATATTGTCGTTGGCAATGTTTTACCACCGTCCGGGGGAGCTAGTGCCGCTCGTATGGCTGCTATTGCTGCCGGAATCCCGATCGCAACTCCCATCACTACGGTAAACAGACAGTGCTCGAGTGGTCTTACGGCCGTCAGCCAAATCGCGAATAGTATCAAGTCTGGACAGATTGATATAGGTATTGGTAAGTTATCATTCGTTGTTCCTAGCATCATACACGAAGCCTATCTCATACAATCTCACTAGGTGCTGGCGTAGAATCCATGTCATTCGGTTACGGCGCGGGTGCAATGCCAGACGGCTACTCTGAACTCGTCCTCGAAACCCAAGAAGCCGAAGACTGTCTAATTCCTATGGGCATTACTTCCGAAAATGTTGCTGCTGACTATAATATCTCTCGCGAAGCCCAGGACACTTTCGCCGCCTTATCCTTCCAAAAAGCCGCCGCAGCTCAAAAAGCCAACCTCTTTGAACCCGAAATCCTCCCAATTCGAGTCAAGCAAGTGTCTCCTGACGGCGGAAAACAATTCCTCGTCGATTATGACGATGGAGTGAGGGAGGGTGTCACCGCGGAGAGTTTGGCTAAATTGAAGCCTGTGTTCAAGAAGGACGGTTCGACTCATGCGGGGAATGCTAGTCAAGTCTCGGACGGGGCTGCTGCTGTACTTTTGGCACGCAGGAGCGTGGCGAAGCAGCTTGGATTGCCGATTGTTGGCAAATTTGTTGCTGCACAGGCTGTTGGTGTTCCCCCAAGGATCATGGGTGTCGGACCCGCGTATGCTATTCCTCATGTAAGTGTTCCTATCAAACCTTCACTTCCCCCCAAAGATTTTGCGTTTGTCTTACGACCTCTGATTTCACCTGGGGTAATCACATTCAGAATGCATTTACTCAAATACCTTACCCCCTTTAGGTCCTTAAGAAGTCTGGCCTTGAAATTTCCGATATCGACTTCTTCGAGATCAATGAGGCGTTTGCATCGCAAGCATTATTTTGCTGTGAGCAGCTCGGTATTCCTTGGAAGGAAGCTGGGTTGAATGGTAAAGTTAATCGATGGGGAGGTGCTATTGCCATTGGACACCCTCTTGGATGCAGTAAGTTTTATTCTCTTTTTCACGTCTTGTCCGGTTCCGTCTTGTCATGATTATCTGGAACACCGGTTGTTTTTTTTTTTACCTTTCTCCGTCTTCTTGTCATTCATGTTTCTTATTCATATTATACGGGGGCACGTTACTGACTGACTTGACTTTCTTCCCTCCCTATCACTCCTACGCTATCCATCACCAGCCGGCGCGCGCCAGATTGCCACCGGTCTCAACATTGCTAAGCACGATAACGAGAAGGTGTTTGTGACGAGTATGTGTATTGGAAGCGGAATGGGAATGGCAGGAGTTTTTGTTAATGAGCAGTGATGGGAGGATTTTTCACGGTATCGGGGAAGGGTCAGTAAGGTAAGGATCCAAACGAGGGCGAATTATGCTTGCACCGCGAGGTTGAGAGAACGCTGTGTTCAACACCGGTGTAAGTAATTTTCAATTGAATACCTATGTAGAATATCTGTATTCTGTTGTTTTACCCCATGCATACAATGTCTTGGACAAGTTTAGATACTGACCGAGAGCTAAACGTTGTCGAATTGTTGTAAGTAACATCCATTACAGTAAGTGCAAGGAAGGCTACATATACAATTGAATCCATTATAGAAGTACAAAAAATAGTTGCGTACACACATCTTTTGGAAGAAAAATACGACTTTGTGCTGTACCCATCAGATGAAAAATACCATGAGTCGAAAATCATTTTTCGAAATTGTTCCGATTGACATATCGTTTCCGTAGCCATTCAAACCATTCTTCATTGTCCGCTTAACTGCCCCGAAGTCCACTACCCTGGCCCAGTTGACACACCTCGACAATATTTCATATCGTTCAATCCAACTTCTCCATGAATCGACTTCCCCCATTCGGAAGTCCATCCGCACCATCCGCACCATCACTCATAAGCGGAGCCTTATCCATTTGCCTCTTCGACTTTTTCGAAGACGAAGCAGAGGCACGACGAGAAACGGTCACTCCATCATCTTGAATGGGTTGTTGCTTTAAGTATTTGTTTTGTTTTGTATGAGTGGATTTCTTGTCAATCTGATGATTAAGATGGAAGTGAGTGAAAGGAAGGAAAGAGAAGATGATAGACGGTCAGTTAGGCGTGCAAGGATACCAAGTGTATACAGAAACGGGGGATAGAGTGCCTGTAAGTAATGATACTGAAGAATTCTGCGACGTATAGGTGCAGGGGAACGAGGTGGTGGTACAACCGATCACAGAAAAGAATGATGCGCTAATACCGCGAACTCACCGGGAATCCATTCTCCCCTACCTCACCAACACCTCCGGGCATGACCTTGGAATCATTCTTCTCACCGTGCAAATGTGAATACGTTGGCAACGTTTCATCTTCCGAATCGCGTCGTACATCTGCGTAAAGCTCATCCTCGGATCCAGATGAAACATTATGATCATGCTTTTGGAGTTCGCCATCGACACCGCCAACAGCAACAGTATGGTATGGAATGACGCCGACTTGAGCATCTTCAAAGTCGCTGTCTACTTCGTCGTCGTTTTCATCGTCGTCATCAGAAGCGGTGTCGCCTCGTCCTTCATCGTCGAGATCTTCGTTGTCTTCATCTTCGGAAGGATAACCTGCAGCGCGGACGGCGGCTTCGACGGGACCGGAACGTTCAATTTGTTCCGAGGCGACCAGATATCTGTGCCATGGAAACATGAGCGACAGTGTTACCACGCAAATATAAGACTAACCTGGCGCACAACATCCTAATATCATTCCACCATTCCATCATCTCTTCCTTACTTCTCGCTTTAAACGACCAAGCATGGTCTCCACCTCCATTGCCACCGCCACTCTTTCCCTTTAAACTCAGGCTACGCCTGACAGACGAAATTGACGTCCCTCCTTTCGTCGTCCCAGTCCCGTCTTTTGTCGTCTCAATATGAAATTTATATGATCCTGCCCTTCCTCCGGGTTTGTCACTAGCACTCGGCGGGCCCAGTGTACATTCCGGTAAGAAAAGGCTAAAGACAGGGGTCTCGGGTTCCTCGCCTTTTCCAGAGCCGCTAGCACTAAACTCGTGCAAGAACCCGGCTGGGGTAAGGACATACTTTGCCTCTCTCCATCTTCTGACATATCTCCTCTTACGGCTCAAAACTCCTTCGTGGACACCAACGACGCTAGGATCTTCTTTGCTCGGATATTTGATAAGCCCAGGATCCCTTAACGGAGTTTCCGGATCTAGAAGATGTTCAGTCCTTGCAGAGAACGACACCCATTCTAGCGTCGGATCGAGTGCCGCGAAAGATCTGGCAAGCCCAAGTTGGTGTTTCTCGATATTTGCGTTCATCCGGACGCGCCAATCTTCGTACGTAGCCCAAGCGCCTTGAATCGCTTGCACGATACCTTCTTCAAATGTCGCGCTATTAGCTTGAGTGATGATGATAGATTTCTGCAGTAAATTTTCTGCGTTCACTTGGGTTCGAAGTTGAAGTTGAACAGCAAGATTTGCGATATAAGGATCTTGCTTCGGGTGAGACGACAGCGATAGAGGCGTATTTTTGTATGTGCTGATTGATGTAGCGAGTGAACTGATGAGAGAAGTAGAGAGTTCGCGTTCGCGGGAGACGGTCGTTGCAAGTTTACCAGTGTCGTTTTGGATGTTCTGGAGATCCAATGAATGAAGTTATTGAGACGGACAGGGAAGGTTTACCTTGACATGCATCTTTACTTCGCCCCTTAGTTTATCTAAATGCCTCACAATACTACCCTCAATGGTCCTTCCGAATCCTTCAACCTCTTCCGCCACGCTCCTGATTCCTTCCTCTCTGAGCTTGTAGAAAACATCCTGCAACCCTCCGTCACCAAGAAACTGATTGCCTGCTCTAAAAGGCACTTGTATGACGCCGCCAAGTTTGACCAGTTCCCTGGCGGTGTGATGTTGAATATCAGCAATTCCTTGAAAATACAGAATAAGCTGCTTGATGATGGCTTTCCACGCAGTGAATCGCTCGATGAGAATGTCGGAAGGTCTGAGCGAGATAGGAGCGGTTTGTTTACGGATGAGAGACTGAGAGCGAGATAGAGTAGAGCCGCCGCCGTTGGCGTTGACTCTGGAGATCGATGTTGCTCGCGACGGGGCGCGAGAAGCTGCTCGGGATGGCGCTCGAGAAGGCACACGGGATGCAGCTCGAGAAGTTCGGCCACGTTCGGGTGTTTGTGTATCATTCATAAGTAAGTTTTATCTTGGCCCAAATAATTGAATAATTGAATATTATATATACATCTTGAAGAAGCCACTGACGTCTTTGCTTACATAAAATAGACAATTACGTCATCTACGCTATACAGTTTGCGTTATAGAGACTTGGGCAAAATTCTACGTTTGGACCCAAGCCTTACCTACTTTGAATTTGGTGCCCCTCT